GACAGGCAGGACAACAACAACAACATCATTCCATTTACAGCTATTAATGACGACAGTCCCATTCACTTCCAGTAATAAAAGCTGAGGAGGATGGTGTATCTTGGGGGAATGGCATGGGGGGTGGGGTTGAGCCACCCTGCCTGAGTGCCCCCGGCCCCCAATCCAAATCATGCCTCCCTCCAGCAGCTATTTTTAAATTAAATTCAAGATATCCAGAGTGCTCAGATTTTCTTCACTGATTTCATGAGGCTCACCTAGCTTGGCTGCAGAGTTCTTCCAGTCTAAGTCTGTTGCAATCAATGGGCTTGGGGGTGGGGGTGGGAAATGCTGTCAAGTCACAGCTGACTTATGGTGGCCCCCATGGAGTTTTCAGGGCAAGAAACGGACAGAGGTGGTTTGCCGTTGCCTCTCCCTAGACTTCTTTGGTGGTCTTCTATCCAGCTGCTAAGCAGGGCCAATCATGCTTAGCTTCCGAGTTCTGAAGAGGTCAGACCAGCCTGGGCCATCTAGGTTACTGGACTTAGACTGGGGAAACTTTGCCTAGGACCACACTGTAAGTCATTTTGTTTCTCTCTGTGTTGCTGATAGGAGTGCACGTTGAGAGAAAATGGCACAGCGGACTCTGCCTGATGGAGGAAGAGGCACAAGTGCGACTTTGTTTGTTAGCCTCTGTCCGTGGTCTGCAGTGCTGTCTGCTCGCATGCCACCATAGGCAAGCAAAATGTTGCCCCTGTGCCCAGTAGAGCACAATGGATACCACTCATATCAAAGCACTTCCCGAGCCTGTTAGTCACCCATGTGATTGGAAAGATACTGTCTTTACTGACCAGAGCTGTATGTAACTCTGTTGATGGGTAAACGTCTCTCTCAGCTACAAAGGTAGAGAGTCATTCTCTCCCTTACCCTTTCCTCTGACCTTCTTGACTTCTAAACTAAACAGCTGAACGCTGGGATAACCATATTTTTATATATTATCAAATGCAGGTAATCCCCCCCCCCCCGAGTTCTGGTAAGCTGTAATAACTGTATGACTGAATGGGGCATTTCTAGTTTGAGTTTTAATTTTTATCCCAAAATAACATACTTTATAGTGGAGAAAGGTGAGAAAAGGTATTTGAGTTAGGAGTAGCTAGGATAATGGTTTGAAATTGTCTTGGCATTCAGAAGCGACTCTGCCTACATACTTTTGAGCTTTTCCACAGCACCGGCTGAAAGCAGCTCCAGGCATTATCAAAAGAGATCATGTTTTTTTCTCCCACTGTAAACCTTTCTTCATGGTGGAAAGTACCCATGCGGAGGAAAAATAAGTTGAAACGGCATGTGTGGAGCTGCCTTCTATCACACAGAGTTCTGTTAAGTGCACAGAATATGCCTGTGATGAAGTTAATAATACATGATGTATGATCTAGACAAAGTTATGCCAGTTCCAGTCCCAGTGCCAAGAGCACTTGTATGCATATGAGCATCTAGGTGAAAATTAGTTATGTCTTTGGAAGGATCTTCATGGCTGCGATTGGATAATGGACTATGTAGAGTGGTATCCTGATCTTTACCAGACAACAGATATATTAGATGGTAACCATGAAGACCATCCAGGGAAGTGTGATATTAATGGAGAAGATACAAATTGAACTTATTGAGGAACATAAATCACAACTAAATGAAAAGTTATGCATCCATATCCAGTTGCCTTCATGGCATGCACAGCTGCAAGGACTGCATATCACACAGCTGGCCACAAGATCAGTAATCACTCCAATCGTCAGTTTGGCAAGGATGGGCTCCCTCATTGACTTTCTAAATGGGGTTGCGTGCACATGAACAGCTGGATGAGAGGGGAAGAAATGTTCCCCCAGCCCCTTGTTTGTACATACTGTTTCTGATCCGGCTACAAGATATGCCTGTGGGAGTCTCTTTTGCACATATATGCCCTCTAGCTGGATTGGAGGGTAACTTGAGCAGAGTCTTAATCACCTTTTTAGGTTGGCGCTCAGTCTTGTCTTGGCAGATGGTTTGACCACCATCGCCCCTTAGGAAAACCCCCCCAAATGATTAAATGATGGGGTCCAGGGATCTGTGTGGGAGGGGTGATTTGGTTCTCTCCTGATGGATTTTTTTTTTGTAGTTCCTTAACACTGTTACTCAAACCTGGGCTGTGTACCTTTAGCTACATCATGGTGGTGGGAAGTGCAGTCAAGTCATAGCTGATTTATGGTGACTCCGTAGGGTTTTCATGGCAAGAGACATTCAGAGATGGTTTGCCATTGCCTGCCTCTGCATAGCAGCCCTGGACTTCTTTGGTAGTTTCCCATCCAGTACTACTACTACTACTACTACTACTACTACTACTACTACTACTACTATACTTTATTGTCATTGTACATAGTACAACGAAATTAAAGGTGCAATCATTCATTCATCATCAGGGCCAATCCTGCTTAGCTTCTGAGCTCTGATGAGATTGGACTCACCTGGACCAGCCAGGTCAGTACAGCTGCATCAGACCTATTATATTATTATTAGTGTGGTGGCTACTGTTATGTTCTTATGTTCTTATCAGTATCTGATGCCTTTTCAGATATTTATTTGATTCAGAAATAAATTCTGATTACCTGTTCTTGCTAATCAGTATTGCTTCTAGCTCTCTTATCTAACCCCCTTCCCTGTTCATCTTGCCTACTTCATTTCCCCCTATTTATTTCCCCCCATAAACGCAGTTTGGTTTAATGGGTTGTGCTTTGAGGTGACCATGGATATCTTAAAAAGGTTAGAACACATGTTTATACCAATGACGGTCATGACACATCTTTTTGCTGGTATCCATTCCTGGATGTTTCCTTTGTCTCTCCATATGGAGGATCCATTTGGGGCTATAATGGTTAAAGTACATGTTTAATCCTTAAAAAAAATCTATACTGGTGGCAGCCCTGAACTGGAGAGCCCAGGCTAGCCTGATCTTGTCAAACCTCAGAAGCTAAGCAGGGTCATCTCTGGTTAGTACTTGGAGGGGAGATCACCAAGGAAGTCCAGGGGCTGGAAGTCTAGGGCTGCTACACAGGGGCAGGTAATGACAAACTACCTCTGAAAATCCTGTGGGGTCACCATAAATTGGTTGTGACCAATATTCCCTCTAAGCTGTGGAGTCCTGTGAGCAAAAATTCTACTTGGTGAGCTCCTGGCATGAAAGTTGTGAGCGAGCGATTGAGTTCCTGCATAATTCAGTTTGCTCTGGAGCCCTCCATCCTGAGCTAAGACAGAAATGTGTGAGCCGGAGGCTAAAAAACAGTGAGCTAGCTCACACCAACTCAGCTTAGGGGAAAACACTGGTTGTGACTTAGCTCACACCAACTCAGCTTAGGGGGAAACACTAATGATGGCAACCCCACCCCTTGGATCATATTTTGCAAATAAGGATGCCACAAGCCATGTATTGGGCAAGTTCTCTAGGCAAGGACATTGTGCTTAGTAACAGCATCTGCCCTTGGGCCAAGCCTCAGATCTCCCCACCTTGCATGAGTTGGCTCTGTGGCTGTAGAGGCGACTGCACTGGTCCTGCTCTGCCTCTTTCTGCCTTGCAAGCCACCCTGCCATCTACACAGTAGGTCCATTCATTGTTTGTTCATGGTGCTGCCTGGTGACTGGGGGGGACACGGGAGGAGAGCAGGGCTTCCATCTGGTGATGGTGGGCATGTGCATGCCAGAAAACAGGGTCAGGCCTCTAGCAAGCAGCAGAACAACCCTTTGAGGGGGTTAGCTCTCTGCTGGTTGTCCGCAGGGGTGTTCAAGCACCCCTAATTGCAACCAACGTGCTTAGATGTGCCGTACTGTGCACAGGATGAGTCTGCTTGGCTGGAAACAATGTCTGGTTCCACTGATGCCCAGTTTAATCCAGGATAGGATGCCTGTTCCTTCATGGATTGTACATTTCCCCCCCCACCCATCATCCACTTCTCTCTTGATGTCCTTGCAATTGTGAGAGACACAGCAGCTGCTGAAGACAAGAGGGCATAAGTAGGTGCCAATTTGTATCTGATCTCATTTTATAATGAGCTTTTGTCCATCTCTTTATATGGAAATGTAGTACAATGCAATGGCTCCTCAATGAGAGGCTTCTTCCAAATTGAATATGGCAACCCCAGCTTGGGCAGAAGGGGGGGGAAAGACTGTGTTCTGGTGATTATATTTTACTCCGCGTTCTCTGAGCACCCAAATGCTTTTCAAGATAATCAGTCCTGTCTGCAAAAATAATCTGCCAGCGTATATCTGAGGACAAGAGAGGACAAGATGTTGCAAACATACCTGACATGTTTAAACACATCCTTTCAGCTTTTCTGCCTCCTTCCAAATCGCTTATGACTGATACTAATAATAAAATAATTTATCTTGGATGGTTGGTTTTTGTTTCTCATCATTAAGGAATGAAATGATTGTTTTCATCTCTGCTACGGATTCCATCTGGAGGGTCTAGTGAGGTCTGTGTTGGTAAACAATGTTACTTCAGTATCCATAATGCTCCACCCCAGATTTACATACATGTAGGCATCAGTGTCAGGTGCACGCCAGGATCATGAGGACATGAAAATGTCCTTAGTGAATCAGATCAAAGGCTATGTAGATTAGTAGTCTGCGTCCCATATAGGTCATCCAGATGGCTGCAAAATTCACACATAGGCCATGATGGAGTCAACCACCTTCCCTCAATTAGACCCAGCATCTGTTACTCAGAGTTATACTGTCTCTTAGTACAGAGGTTCCATCTTTAGCTCTCAAGGCTAATCACCGCTGATATTGTCCATTAACTTTTTAAATCCCCCTTGAAAGCCATGTGGGTTCTGTCAGAGGAGGGGGAAATGAAGTTGTAAGCTGCTTTGGGTCCCAATTGGGAAGAAAAATGGGGTATAATTTCTAAATAGAAAGTGACAACATTTTTAAATAAAATAGGAGATTGATGAAGATAGTGGCCATCACTGTACATTCACTCCACCCAGTAAAGCACAAGCATGCACACAGGAGGGGCCACCGAGGGTGGGGCTGCGGCGGGCCGGGAGGGCGCCCCCCTTCCCTCTGCCCTGCGGTGCTGTTGCCCCCACGCCCCTCCTCCCCCTCCTGCAGCGATCCCACCTTGCGGGGTCATCGTGCACCCCGCAGCACCCAAGTCCAGTGCCATCGTGGACAGGGCCTGCCGGCTCCCCGGCGCCTTCGGCCTCCTGCAGCAGCTGCCCCTCCTTCTTCCTGTTGCCCGCCCACCCCCTGATGCCAGCGGCTGGGTGGATCCTGCCGGGGGGATCTGGTTTTGTGGAGGGGTCATGTGCCCTGGTCCAGCAGGGGGCGAGGGAGCCATCGCTGGGAAGTGGTGGGCCGGCGGCAGCAGGGCAGGGTGCGCGGCTTTCTCCGTCGAGAGCCTGCTTGGGACGATTTGTGTGCGCCGCGGTGCTGGGCCGGGGAAGATCCCTAGCCCGGGGAGGGGGAGAGTTGTGCAACGGCGGCCGCTGCTGCAGACGTCTGGCAGGCTGCTGGGCTTGGCTCGGCTGGGATCAAGTGAGCCTCCCCTGCGCCCCTGACTGCTTGAGGGACTGGACCGGCTGCCACCCTCCCAGGGGGACGTGCCGGAAGGGCAGGCGAAGTGGCGCGCTGAAGCAGCACGCACCCAGAAAGTCATGTGTGTGTGTATGGGGAAGAGGCAGCAGTGGCCAGGGCGCAGAGTGCTTTTGGCGGGGGGCTTTTGGCGCCCCCATGATGGCCCCACGCTCTAGGCGAGAGTCTAGCTCACCTAGTGAGCGGGCCGGCCCTGGGTGTAAACAAAGATGGTGTTAGGAATTATGGGACTGTGGAACTAACTGGATGTGTGTGTGGCATAAGCCATGCTCCCCAGTTCTCCATGAATGTCTCCTACACAAGGGCTATAGAAAACGAACTGCCCTAGAACCTTTCTCAAGTGGCTCTGCCCTGGATGGCCCAGGCTAGCCTAATCTCATCTGATCTCAGAAACTAAGCACGGGAGACCACTGAGGAAGTCCAGAGTTACTATGGAAGAAGAAGAAGAAGAAGAGAAGAGATTGGATTTATACCCTGCCCTTCACTTGGAGTCTCAGAGCGGCTTACAAACTCCGTTCCCTTCCCCTCCCCACAACAGACACCCTGTGAGGTGGGTGGGGCTGAGAGAACTCTGACACAAACTGCTCTTTTTCAAGGACAGCTGTGCCAGAGCTTGTGACTGACCCAAGGTCACATCAGCAGGTGCAAGTGGAGGAGTGGGGAATCAAACCCGGTTCTCCCAGATCAGAGTCCACACACTTAACCACTACACCACACAGCAAAGCACCTCTGTTTGTCTTTTGCTTTGAAAACCTGGGGTCACCATAAGTAGGCTGTGACTCAATGGCAATTTCCACCACCACAGCTCAAGTGAATCCCACTAATTTCACTAGGGTTTCACAGGAGCAGATGGTATCCTACAATATCCTTTCCACAACTGGAACAAAAGCTGTTGAGCCTCATACAGGGCCAGTTCATAAACTCTGAAACCATTTGTGCATGCCAAATATCTTCATGGCTGACATACTTCAACCATGTTGGCAGGCAGGCATCCCTTCCCCATGGTGAGATACCCAAGTATGGCAGGCAAAAATAGGGCAGGGTGGAAGGTGGTGGTTTAGAGTGTCAGACAAAGATGTGGGAGACCTTCTTTAAAATCCCAGCTCCGTTTTGGAACTAAGTAACCACAGTCAGTCACTCCCCTTTCAACCTAACCTATCTTATAGGTTTAGTATGAGGATATCACTTCACTTCCCCGAGTTCCTTGGAGGAAGGGCATACTAAAAAGTTACTACATACATGGAAAATGGGCCGTGTCACCCAGAAACAGCAAATCTTCATGTGGTTGCATCAGGGCATGTGTTATTTCCTCCACGGATGTGCCCACGTCACCTGAACAGTATTTGCAGAAGGTCTGAAATCTCTTGAACTCGCCCACAAAGGCAGCTACTGTCCTCTGGGGGGAGGGGGAGTCCCACTTAGAACAGAGCTACTGAGAAGATAATGGAAACCTGTCCAATTTTTGTGCCCCACAGGGCTTGCCAAACATCTGTTGTTGCATTATTTTACCCACATTGGCATATGGCATCAGAGCATGTTAATTAACATTGTTTCTCTAAAACGTTTAAGAGATCTTTGCATCTTGTTTCAATTAGCTGACTGTTGCCACTTGAAGGAAAAGATCAACCGTTACTGGAATACAGCATTTCTGTAACAAGAAACATGATTATGATGATCCTCTCTCATCCCATACTTCCTTATCTCCTCCGTGCAGCCGTAAAGTCGGTCCCGGGGCTCCATCGCGGGAAACGTGGATCCGGACGAAATTTCGTCTTACACTTTTCTTCCAGCTCCACACACACACAGCTCCATTTTTCTTGAAATCTCTGCGCCGGAGCCACTTGCTTTAGGTGGAAAGTTATATAATCAGTTTAAAATAGTACATTTTTGTGAGTAATGGAATAGGCATGGGTGAATTTAGATGCCTTCTGTGCAATCAGAACCAAAAAGACTAGAGTGTAGGGTGTGCATTCAAAAAACAACTCATCGAAATCTGACCCAAACCAAAGCCCATTGCTAATATAGATATTAGTAATTCATACGAAAATTTTCCACACATTCAGAAGTAATGAGAAAAAGTCATGAATTCTCTGGATATATTTTCTGGCACTGCTTTGTTGGTGTTTTCTTCGGTTCCATGAAATGTGGGGTGGGGTGGGGTGGGGTTCCATTTCCAGCAGTGACAGACAGGCATCTTGACCAACCAGCACTGCTCTTGAGACAAAGAGAACTCTGCTGACATGTTTGCTTTTTATGACTAGCATTTATTTTCACAAATCACTGCTCTGTTAAGGAGTGCTGTATGGACCCATATAACAAAGAGTGGGGAACCCCCCTGTCATGTTGAGCATGTTTCTTCCCAAGAGAACACAATCTCACCTTGTGCTTTGCATTGCTAAGTGTCTGATTTTCTACAGGGCATGTGTGTAAAAGAGTTGGTGTTCCATTCCTGGTTTTGTGTTTTAATTGAGATAGATGGTGAGATGCTGTTTACCTTCTTAATACCCTTAGTGTACATATTGACTCCATCACCATCAACAATGGGCATTAGCTCATCCCACAGACTGATGCCAGTGTGGGAAGAGGCAATTAATGAGGTGGCACTCCAGTTCAGTGGCCCACTGGGAAATTTCCCTGTAAGTTAAATGGCCAGTCCCCGTCGTCCCCCCCAAACTAAAGCATGAAGGTGACAGGAGCTAAAGACTGCACCCTCCCATGGCTTACTTGGCATTTCTTTCCTGGCCAGGTACTAGAAGTCAGCTAGACTGGAGAAGGAGGAGGAGGAGATTGGATTTACACCCGACCCTTCGCTCGAAGTCTCAGAGTGGTTTACAATCCCTTACCCTTCCCCTCACCACAACAGACACCCTGTGAGGTAGATGGGACTGAGAGAGCTCTCCCAAGAACTCCTAGTGAGAGAACAGTTCTGAGAGAACTGTGGCTTGCCCAAGGCCACCCAGCAGCTGCATGTGGAGGAGTGGGGAATCAAACCTGGTTCTCCCAGATTAGAGTCCATACTGCTAACCACTACACCAAACTGGCTCTATGCTGACATCAACTAAGTGCAGTGAGGTAGCAATATTTATGTCTGCAGGTTTTCACTCCCCTTGCACATCCACTCTGTTGTTGCTTAAAAATAGACACCTACCCCAAGAAAGAAAAACTCACATGCCAGTTTTCACATTTCCTGGGAAGTGAGATTGTTGTTGTCCTCTAAACTAACATGGGGATGCATTCCCCTATCTGGTTGAAAAGCAATAGGGAGCATCCCTTCTGTGCCAGGTACAATCCCATGTATTTCCCCACTGAAATGAATGAAAACTAATTCAGAATAACAATGCATAAGTCAAGCAGGTCTCCGGAGAGGCCGCATATAAACTCCTTAAATAAACAGTGGCATAAAAATAGATATTAGAGACCAAAATTTCCCCAAACCAACTAAATAACATTTTTGTGTATATACCAGTGGGTGTATATCTGCCTGTTATGATCTTGAAAGACACAGGTATGTATGCTGATCAGCCACTGTACTTTACTGTCAGCACTTTGGTGGGTATTTGTGAGTAGCATTGCTCTTGGAGCTTTGTACATATTCCTTCACATTTGATTTTGCCTCATTTGATTATTCATCAGTTGCTAACGCAATGTGTGACCTGAAAGTGTGATCAAACAGCTTTTTGGGGGGGAGCTAGGGGGACACATTTCTGGTCCCCCTAGGGGACCATGAAGCCATGATATTTGCTTTTATATAATGTTTGGGTTGGGACCAGAGGTCATTTCGTAGAAAAAGAGCTAGGGGAACTCATTAGCATAACTCATTAGCATATGCCACACCCCCTGACATCACTGGAAGTGTGTCATAAGGCCACACCCCCTGACATCACCGGAAGTGTGTCATAAGGCCACACACACCGCCCCCAACGGTCCCGGCCGCCACCACCGGCCTTGCAGCTCCACTGCCAAGCCCCATGAGGGGCCCGGTGGTGGACCTGCAAGGCTGGCAGGAGTGCAAGGAAGCCCCGCGAAGGCCCTCCCTGGCCCCAGACAGGCAGGGGTGGGGAGAGGCAGGGAGGAAGCAACTTACCCTCCCTCTTCTCCTGCCTCCTCCTGGCTGAATGAGGGCCGGAAGCAGGGCGGCCGGAAGCAGGGGGCGGGGCTTCGTCATGTGCCCCGCCCCCCATACCTCACCCGGGGGAACTGCGTTCCCCCGCGTTCCCCCGCGAAATGACCTCTGGTTGGGACTGAGCAATGTGAGAGTGTGAATCTTTGTTATGTGGGATGCATGGTGGATCCTAGCAGCTTTAGTGGGAGATGACACCAAAGTTCTATCTGTGGTGTCTGATCTGGGATGGCTCTTTTACGCAGGCATGCCATGGCTTAGTGTTTTAGCCATCCAGGGTTGAACATGAATACACGAATTGTCAAGTAGGGAAATGGCTTGAGCCTCTCAGCTGCACAGACAAGACAAACACTTGGTTCACACCTATGACAGTTCTTGATATGGAGCAGGCCTTGGGTTGTACGTGCATGGAAGGATAATTTACGAGCCAGTAAGACTGTACAGCATGGCGTGTGTGGAGGTATTTTTTGATACGCATCACTGCTTGGAAGCTGCATGGTCCCATTGGTTAACATGTTTTTCCTCCATGTGGCTACAGCCAAGGGACAGCTCATTTTGGGGGATTTCAGCATGTATCAGCTGGGCCAAGGGCCATTCTCTTGGCAGTGGTCTTCACCAGGAGAGGGAAAGGAGGACAACGGCCACATGGGCTGCCTCTGCAGTTGCTGTAAAGCCAAGCACGTCGGCCCCCATCACACAATTCACTTCATTCCTCATCAATCAATTCATCTGGCTTATCACTCTGAGATGCGTCTCGCTCTGAAAATCCCAGGACAAGATTTCTGCCCATCACAGTGGGAGTGGGATTCATTTCGTTGCTGCA